ATGTCGAACTTGAACAACTTGTAACAATGACATAAACCCTTTCAATACTTTCAGAAGAGTAAAAGTTCTCAAGAAAGGAAAATGAGAATGAGATCAACTAGGTGGGTCGATTTTAGTCCTCCCTGCAGTGTCAATCATGAATTTTAAGACGTTTTTTGCTACGTTTTGGACACCGCTAATACAAGTTGGGTTGAGATCTAAAGTTAAGCGGGCAAATTCTAAATCAAACATTGTAATGAGCAAGTGATGATCTAAAGCAATTACAAAGTCCAAACCTTAACCTTCTCCCTAAGTTTAGCTCACACCCTCACACATTATATTACATTAAGCAACAACTACAACTTTTATTCATTCATTTAATTCTTCTTTTTAGGGAATGAAAAAATAATTATAGCTTGAGAAAGTGTGCCAGTAACACAAGTTGATACACTAAATGTTACAATACGAATTGTTGAATACTTGGGAAAAAAAATTCTAACGGCTTGTATTATGACACTTGGTGTATCAAACCATATTCACGGCACAATCAAAGCAAATATTATTAAAAAGAAATGAAAAATGTCACTTGCAATTAAAGCAAATACCAATTTTACACATGAACTTGATCCACCGGCACCGCCTGATGCAATTGAGGCTGCATTGCATGGCATCTTCCGATGGCATTCTCGTAAATGTCTCATCACTGATAAATATCGTAGTACAAAACACCCCCACCAATTTTGTCATCAGTGTTAGTCACAGAGAGAGAGAGAGAGAGAGAGTGAGGAGAGAGAGAAAGAAGAAGAAGATGCCGAGAAGCAGTTTCTCAGGGGCGCTTACAGGGCCGCAAGTCGACGTGGTCATCGACTTGGGAAACCCCTTGCTCAACCACACCGTCGATGGCTTCTTGAAGATCGGAACCGTACGATTTTTCAACTTTTTATTCTTTTTTTTTAAATTATCTTCAACATTTTTTTTTTTTAAAATTTTTGTTGTTTTTTCGGTTCAGTATTTCACTTCTGGGTTTTGATAGTTGCAATGGCAAGGTTTAGAATCAAACTGTATCGTTTTGTTGGTTTGGTTTCAGGTTGCTGCTACCAGAGCTGTTGCAGAGGATGCTTTCTCTGCGGCCAAGAATGGTAATGTTATTTATCATTGCGCTCCAACTGTTTGGTTCCCGATCGAGAAACACAGAGAAAATGAAGAGTGGGAAAGTTTTAAATTTCATATGCTGATCATATTGTGCTTGCAGTCTGATGATGATGATTGTATTTATTTGGTTTTTGAATAAGATTTTTGGGTTTTATTTTAGTTTTTTTAATTGCATTTACTAAAAATGTGAGGTGATTTTTGCAGGGAGCATTTCGACTAGCGACTTTAAGCACACTGTGAGTAACCAGCACAGTCCCTTGTTTAATTAATTCGGTTTTTCGATTTTGTGCTTTCTTGTATGATCTGAGATTAGTAGCTACTCTTAACCTTGTAACCGAAAACAATATTAGTAACTACTTTCAGTTAATTCAGCATGTTCAGTTGTTGCTCAATTGATTTTGTTTAGTGGGATCTATTGCTTTTTGGTGGTCTGTCTTATACTGTGGTAATTTGTTGAAGAGGTGATCGGTTGTTTATTCATAGAAGAAGGTTGGGATGCAACACAATTTCCGAATCCTGCTAATTGAGAGTACTGTTTCTTGCAGTTGAAGAAGATGTGTAAAGAAGGTGCATATTGGGGTAAGTTGAGTCGTATTTCATCGTGTGTTAGATGTATGTATGGATGAGATTATGCTCGTCCTCTGGGAAATTGCTTCAGCTTCCTCACTTTTGCGAATTGAGAACAGCATCAACAAGTTCTTCTATTGCATTGACAGGAACTGTAGCTGGAGTGTATGTGGGAGCAGAGTATGGTATCGAGAGGGTCCGTGGACACAGAGACTGGGTATATGTCTGTTCGAATTCTAGATAGCTAGTTGTACAGTACCTGTTGGCCGTAATTTTCATGCTCATTCGTCCTAGTTTGCACATGAAGCTTCTAGATTTGGGAAATTGTTTCAGATTGTCTACTTGCTAAGTTAAAACTCTTAATCTCTATGTTCCCTAGATCCTCCCGTTGCCATGATTTGTATAATTGTTCGTTTTCAGTATGCGCGGGTAGCTTCTAAAATTACATTCAAGCATGCCATTTCAAGTTCCTTTTTATTTAATTTAATTTCCGGACTTCGATTGGAACTTCTGTATCTGCTCACCCTTATTCTTTTGATATCCTGCAGAAGAATGCCATGCTCGGGGGTGCATTGACAGGGGCTCTAGTATCTGCAGCCAGCAAAGAGAACAAGGATAAAATTCTGGTGGATGCAATTACAGGAGGTGCCATTGCGACCGCTGCGGAATTCATCAACTATCTCACCTGAACATGGACGTAATATTCTACCCGATCTCTCTGTAGATCCTGGAGAACTATGAGTAGGTTTCTCGTGTCATCTTCCTCATGAATTCGTAGAGCATTGTATAAAGAATGTTCAAGGGTTCATCTAAACTACTGAAACATACAATGAATTATGAATCTTCTGTTTTTATCATTCTTGAGCAATATGTTCGATGCTTTTTTTTTTTTTTTTGTGACAAAAGATAACGTTAATGGGTTAAATAGATAGTTGTTAGGAGGAAAAGAATCGGTAGGGATCAAACATGCTCCATGGAACAAATGCATAACTGTTTTCCGCTACTGCGAGAAAGTGCGAATATGTTAGATGCTTACTGATGCAAAGATTGCTATGAATTTGTTGCATTCGCCAAAGAAAAAAAACAACCGATGCCCCATCGATCGTATTATCTTCTATTTACAAAATTGGTATTCAAATATGCAAATCAACATCTATATAATTTAGATTAGTTTGGTACAGACAGACTAAAACTTGTGCAAAAAAACAATTGTATTGTTATAAGAACTATGATATATGCCACATCAATTACATATAAAAATGTGAATAATAAGTCAAAGTGCTTAAAACCCCAATATTCTTTTAAAAGTAAAATGTGCTTGAAAAAGAAACTCCAATGTGCATAGAAAAATGCATGACAGAGAACATGCTCAACAACAATAGGGATTTGGTTTATGGTGCCTCGTAAATTGGAAATTTCAACTTTGTATTTTGGGTATAGAGCTACCTGGCTTTACGGAGACCGTTCCTCTTTAATCTGCACTAGATCACTATATAATAAGCCTTGCATGGTTATTGTTCTTTGCATCAGCGTTTGAGATCTCTCTTATTATACACAAGCACACACATAGAAACACACAGATCAAGCACACACTTACATACACATGGATTCAAATGGAGCGTTCAATGCGTCTTGTTTCAGCTGCTTTCGTTCTTGTCTTACTTTTGGCCGCTACCGGTAATTATACCTCTTTTATTTAATAATTAAAAGATAGGCAGATAATAGTTCATTTTGTTTCATCCTCATATTTTCAAACTCACAAAGCAAACTTTGAAGTTTAACATACCTTGCATGTTCATCGCCGCAAAATTCCTCTTGAAGTAGATCCCAAGCACCCTTGGGTGTCTCTTGATTCACGATCCGAGGGAAGATCTCTTTAGACACAGCGCTCTGAATGATTCCCAGTGCATTAGCGTCTTTCATAAGTTGATCATCCATGTGAGTATCAAACTCATTGTTGTCTTCTTCATCATCGTCTGATGAGGGTGAGTCTTCCTTCTTCTTTGTTTTTCCTCTTTCCTTCTTCTTCTTCTATTCTGGAGTAACAATTCCTTTGTCTACCAGTTTCCAAATCCCATATGATTTGAAAATGGTGACCATTCTCACTTTCCAGAATTCGAACTCCGTTCCATAAAAAACGGGAGCTCGTAAATCGTTGCTTCCAAACCCAGTCATTGTAGCTTGAATTAGAATGAAATCTAGAGATTTCATGTTGGATTATCTCTCAAAATTTCACAGAAACCGACGCCCAATCCGACATCGAACCTAGGCTTTGGATACCATGTTAGAATCTGTAAAAGTTTGGTAGTATTTGCAGCAATTCAAAATAGAGAGAAAGAACTTAGAGAGAAGAAAATGAAGAGATATAAGGAGAGTGATCAAAATCTCAGAAAGAGCCAATGTGCTCTTCTGTGTGCATTTTCATTTTATCACAACTGAACAAAAAATAACTATTACAAAGGGAGAGAATCTAGGAGAGCCTATTAGCTCATCCATCCCTTCATTACAAGAACCTATGAGATCTTGACATTTGCTCACATCTGAGCCTAATACATTAAGAGCTATTCTCAACCCTTGATTTCTAACAGCTCATTTCATAAAGACTAACAACTTGATAAAATAAAGAAAATAACAGTTTAGACCTTAATCAACCAACAAAACTTTCATTTTTCTCAATCTTGTAGTGTCTTTCCTTCTTCGTTAGACTATTTATATTACGTGTTTGCTTAGTTGGAATAGGGGAAGTTGCGAATTCGAGAAAGAAAAGAAGGAATGTGAATGAGATTTTCTTTTCTTTTTTGTGAAAATAAAATTTACAACAAGAACTCCGTCCTTAATAAGTTCATTTGCCACTAAGTTTGCGTTATTGAACACATGTCGAAACAATGACATTGTTTGTACCATACTTAAGGCCTCCGTATTTAGATCTCGTATAAATACTCGGGGGACTTAAATGTAATTATGTAATAAAGGAAGTGACAAATATGTAATATGTGAGGAGCCCTTATTCTATAAAAGGACCCATCACTCTCCTCGTTAAGGGAGGCCAATTCTTAGGCCTGACCACCTTCTCAGAGGCTCTCTCCCTCACAATCCTCTCAAAGAAATACAATATCAGTGTGGACGTAGCCCAAACATTGGGGTGAACCACGATACATCTTGTGTTATTTACTTTCTTGCAGATTCACGGTCAGATTTACATTGTTCCAAGACCTCCGGTTTTGTTCATCAACATTTGGCGCCATCTTTGGGAATCAACACGAAAAGCTATGTCGGTTCTCTCTCAAATTTTCATACCACCACCGTGAATCTGCAAAATCACAAAAATCCAAAAAACCAAATCTCTCTCTTTCTCCTCTCTCGGTTAGTCATACACATAAACCAAAACAAAAAAGAAATAAAAAAACTCTAAAAGGCTGGTCCTTCTCAAGTGTAAAGACTGAAGAGCCACAATCAAATGGATTCCCATTCCCATCTACCCCAACCTCCATCGTCGCCATCATCACCGTCGGCACATCCACAGCCCTAAATCCCACCTCCCACAATTCATCTGAAAATACCCAACACTAATCACAATTTCCAACAACCATGAAGGTCATTTTGGTCATAGTCTCACTCTTGCTCTTCAACTCCCTCCTCCTCTGCTACTCCATTGAAGACAACGTCGCATGCCTCGAGGGCGTCAAGTCATCGTTCACCGATCTAGAAGGGCGGCTGAGCCAATGGGACCTTGCCAACAGGTTGGTGACCTCCATCTGCAAGCTGGTTGGCGTTACCTGTTGGAATGAGAAGGAGAATCGCCTCATCAGCCTCCAGCTCCCGTCAATGTAGCTCGTCGGCAAGCTCCTGAAGTCTCTCAAGTTCTACCACAGCCTCCAGAGCTTGGATCTCTTTGGTAACTCTCTCTCCGGTTCGATTCCTCCCCAAATCTGCAACTGGCTTCCATACCTCGTAACCCTAGATGTTTCTGGCAACTCTCTCTTCGGTTCGATCCCGCCGGAGATCGCCAATTGTAAGTTCCTCAACACTCTAATTTTGAACGACAATCGCCTCTCCGGTACCATGCTCAATCTTAGTCGCCAGATGGCAGCCCTCGAGGGCACAAAGGCCGCCTACTGCACGTCCTCAGGGATGTCAACCATATCCTCCATCCTGCTCCAGCTCGTCAACAGCGGGGAACACATCGTAGCCTCAAGAACCGTCTACGGAGGGACCCATGCCCTCATGTCTCACTTCTTCCCCAGGGCATGCAACATAACGACGACATTTGTGGACATCAACGACATGGACATGGTGAAGAATGCTATTGAGGCTGGGAAGACCAAGGTACTCTATTTCGAAGGCATGTCGAACCTAACTCTCATCGTCGCCAACATACCGAAGCTCAGCCGTATCGGCTACGAGAAGGGGGTCAAGATTGTGGTGGACAACATATTTTCTCTCATGGTTCTATCTCCGGTGAAACTTGGTGCTGACGTTGTTGTTCACAGCATTTCCAAGTTTATTAGCGGTGGTGTTGATATTATTGCAGGTGTTGTGTGCGGACCTGCAAACCTGGTGAACTCAATGATGGATCTACACAAAGGCTCCTTGATGCTCCTGGGTCCCACAATGAATGTCAATGTGGCATTTGAGCTCTTTGAGAGGATTCCCCACCTAGGGTTGAGAATGAAGGAGCACTACCACAGGGCAATGGTTTATGCCTAAAGGATGAAGAAGATGTGCGAAAACAAATTTGAAACTTTGTATTTTGATATGAATACGGGAGCTAAGATCCTATCTGTTGGTCTTGGAACATGGAAAGCTGAACCAGGCGTGGTCGGTCAAGCTGTCATCGCAGCAGTCAAGAATGGCTACAGGCATATTGACTATGCATCAGTACAGTGTGGCGTCACAACAATGATGTTTGGATCTGCAATGGTCCTCTTCCCAACTTGATTGGGTTACAACGAAGAAGATAAGTTTTTTTATTATTAATCATATTATTATTGTCTGCCATCTGCCAAAAGAAAAAAGAGAAAGAACAGGAGTGGGAGAAACAAAAGCAGAAAAGAAAAAGAAAAAGAAAGGCTGCAGATGAGTATGTCTGCAGGTGAAAAGAAAAAGCATGCATTTATCCCCCAGATTCCACCACAAAAGCACATGGGTAAAGGATGGGTACCTCAGATTCAAAGCCACTAATGCAATTTGACTCCACCACTAGTCCTACGCACCTCAGATCCCATCTCTGCGAATAACACTGGAAAAGCAAAAGTAGAAAGTAAAAGAGGGAATTATAGGCGTGACCCATTGAGCAGAGGGTCGGATTTATTTTTGAATGATATAAATTTTTTTTCGTATCTTTCGGAGATATCTGTATAACCCCATCAGAGGGTAATAATAAAAAAATAAAAAATAAAAAATAAAAAAACGGCAAGCTCAAAATAATGGGCTGGAATGTTATGTGGGGTGCGAAGGCCCATATGCCCAAAAGAGCCAGGCCCTTTATTATCACCAACCAGGTGATCAAAAGTACGTCCAGTACTACAAAAATTATTCGGCACCCCGCCACTATTATCACTAACCAGGTGATCAAAAGTACGCCCAGTACTCTAAAAAATTATTCGGCAGCCTGTCGCTATTATCACCAACCAGGTGATCAAAAGTACGTCCAGTACTCCAAAATTATACATGAGCATCACTCATGTCAATCATAAATAAACATTTCATGAGCATCACTCATGTCAATCATACATAAACATTTCATAACCATCATTCATGAGCATCACTCATGTCAACATTCATGAGCATCACTCATGTCAACATCCATGAGCATCACTCATGTCAATCAACATAAACATTCATGAGCATCACTCATGTCAATCAGCTTCAAAAGCTTCATTTACAGAGTTCTAGCTTCAAAAGCTTCATTTACAGAGCTCTAGCTTCGAAAACTTCATTTACAAAAGCTCCAGCTTCGAAAGCTTCATTTACAGAGCTCTAGCTTCAAAAGCCTCATTTACAGAGCCCTAACTTCAAAGTTTCAACTTGCAAAGCTTCACCTACAAAGCTTCAGTGCAGGGTATACAAATACCGCCTCCAAACAACCGCCACTTCGGCCCATACATGGATTCAATTTGAAGTCTCCAGCCAACAGACTCTATTGACCGAAGATTTGGGGGACTACATTATGTACCATATATTGGGCCTCAACTGGGTCTCATAAAAAATACTTCGGGAACTTAGCCCATTATTTATGTATTGAGGAGCGAGCCCTTATTCTATAAAAGGGACTCCCTCACTTTCATTAGAGAGCACCCATTATTCATGTATTGAGGAGCGAGCCCTTATTCCATAAAAGGGACTCCCTCACTTTCATTAGAGAGCACCCATCACTTATGTATTGAGGAGCGAGCCCTTATTCTATAAAAGGGACTCCCTCACCTTCATTAGAGAGCATCGCCGCCTGCTGAGCAACCGCCTCGCCGCGAGCACCAACTCTAGCCCTTCATTTTTTGTATTGAGGAGCGAGCCCTTATTCTATAAAAATGACTCCCTCACCTTTAACGCCACAAGCCGAGCCAACCAAGGCAACATAAGCCACAAGCAGAGTAGCCTCGCAACATGTGCTACTTCTAGTTGAGCATCATTTTAGATTGAGCACTGCCTCATATCGAGTATTCAGTTCTAGACAACATCTAGTTACTTCGCCCACACATAGACTGAATTTCAAGTATCCAGCCAAAAGACTCTCTTGACTGAAGACTTAAGGGACTACTGTTTGTACCATACTTAGGGCATCAGTATTTAGACCTCGTATAAATACTCAAGGGACTTAAATGTAATTATGTAATAAAGGAATGGCAAATATGTAATAAGTGAGGAGCCATTATTCTATAAAAGGACCTCACTTTCCTCATTAAGGGAGGCCAATTCTTAGGCCTGACCCTCACCCTCTCAAAGCCTTACTCTCATAGGCTCTCTCCCTCACAATCCTCTAAGAGAAATACAATATCAGTGTGGATGTAGCCCAAACATTAGGGTGAACCACGATACATCTTGTGTTATTTACTTTCTTGCAGATTCACGGTCAGATTTACGTTGTTCCAAGACCTCTGGTTTTGTGCATCAACAAACATAAACCCTTTCAATACGTTTAGAAGAGCAAAAGTTCTCAAGAAAGGGAAATGACAATGAGATCAACTAGGTGGGTTGATTTTAGACTTCTCTGCTGTGTCAATCATGAATTTTAAGATGGTTTTTGCTACGTTTTGGACACCGCTAATACAAGTTGGGTTGAGGTCTAAAGTTAAGCGGGCAAATTCTAAATCAAACATTGTAATGAGCAAGTGATGATCTAAAGCAATTACAAAGTCCAAACCTTAACCTTCTCCCTAAGTTTAGCTCACACCCTCACACATTACATTTACATTAAGCAACAACTACAACTTTTATTCATTCATTTAATTCTTCTTTTTGGGGAATGAAAAAACAATTATAGCTTGAGAAAATGTGCCAGTAGCATATGCTATATGCTGGTACACTAAATGTTACAATACGAATTGTTGAATACTTGGGGAAAATTTTTCTAATTGCTTGTATTATGACATTTGGTGTATCGAACCATGTTCACAGCACAATAAAAACAAATATTATTAAAAAGAAATGAAAAATGTCATTTGCAATCAAAGCAAATACCAATTTTACACATGAACTTGATCCACCGGCACCGCCTGATGCAATTAATGCTGCATTGCATGGCATCTTCCGATGGCATTCTCGTAAATGTCTCGTCACTGATAAATATCGTATCACAAAACACCCCCACCAATTTTGTCATCAGTGTTAGTCACAGAGAGAGAGAGAGTGAGGAGACAGAGAAAGAAGAAGAAGATGCCGAGAAGCAGTTTCTCAGGGGCGCTTACAGGGCCGCAAGTCGACGTGGTCATCGACTTGGGAAACCCCTTGCTCAACCACATCGTCGATGGCTTCTTGAAGATCGGAACCGTACGATTTTTCAACTTTTCTTTTCTTTCTTTAAATTATCTTCAACATTTTTTTTTAAAATTTTTTTTTTTTTCGGTTCAGTATTTCACTTCTGGGTTTTGATAGTTGCAATGGCAAGGTTTAGAATCAAACGGTATCGTTTTGTTGGTTTGATTTCAGGTTGCTGCTACCAGAGCTGTTGCAGAGGATGCTTTCTCTGCGGCCAAGAAAAGTAATGTTATTTATCATTGCGCTCCAACTGTTTGGTTCCCGATCGAGAAACACTGAGAAAATGAGGAGTGGGAAAGTTTTAAATTTCATATGTTGATCATATTGTGCTTGCAGTCTGATGATGATGATTGTATTTATTTGGTTGTTGAATAAGATTTTTGGGTTTTACTTTAGTTTTTTTAATTACATTTACTAAAAATGTGAGGTGATTTTTGCAGGGAGCATTTCGACTAGCGACTTTAAGCACACTGTAAGTAACCAGCACAGTCCCTTGTTTAATTAATTCGGTTTTTCGATTTTGTGCTTTCTTGTATGATCTGAGATTAGTAGCTACTCTTAACCTTGACATTGAGCTTGAAAGTACCGATCTTGCTGGTTTAGGTAGTTTAGTTTGTTTTGTTTTGTTTTGTTTGATTTGTGATCGGCCTTTGGTTCCCTTGTAAGCGAAAACAATATTAGTAGCTACTTTCAGTTAATTCAGCATCTTCAGTTGTTGCTCAGTTGATTTTGTTTAGTGGGATCTATTGCTTTCTGGAGGTCTGTCTTATACTGTGGTAATTTGTTGAAGAGGTGATAGGTTGTTTATTCATAGAAGAAAGTTGGGATGCAACACAATTTCCGAATCCTGCTAATTGCGAGTACTGTTTCTTGCAGTTGAAGAAGATGTGTAAAGAAGGTGCATATTGGGGTAAGTTGAGTCGTATTTCATTGTGTGTTAGATGTATGTATGGATGCGATTGTGCTCGTCCTCCGGGAAAATTGCTTCAGCTTCCTCACTTTTGCAAATTGAGAACAGCATCAACAATTTCTTCTATTGCATTGACAGGAACTGTAGCTGGACTGTACGTGGGAGCAGAGTATGGTATCGAGAGGGTCGGTGGACACAGAGACTGGGTATACGTCTGTTCGAATTCTAGATAGCTAGTTGTACAGTGCCTGTTGGCCGTAATTTTCTTGCTCATTCGTCCTAGTTTGCACATGAAGCTTCTAGATTTGGGAAATTGTTTCAGATTGTCTACTTGCTAATTTAAAACGCTTAACCTCTATGTTCCCTAGATCCTCCCGTTGCCATGATTTGTGTAATTGTTCGTTTTCAGTATGCGCGGGTTGCTTCTAAAATTACATTCAAGCATACAATTTCAAGTTCGTTTTTATTTAATTTTCAGACTTCGATTGGAACTTCTGCATCTGCTCACCCTTTTTCTTCTGATATCCTCCAGAAGAATGCATTGCTCGGGGGTGCATTGACAGGGGCTCTAGTATCTGCAGCCAGCAAAGAGAACAAGGATAAAGTTCTGGTGGATGCAATTACAGGAGGTGCCATTGCGACCGCTGTGGAATTCATCAACTATCTCACCTGAACATGGACGTAATATTCTACCCGATCTCTTTGTAGATCCTGGAGAACTATGAGTAGGTTTCTCGTGTCATCTTCCTCATGAATTCGTAGAGCATTGTATAAAGAATGTTCAAGGGTTCATCTAAACTACTGAAGGTTGATACAATGAATTATGAATCTTCTGTTTTTATCATTCTTGAGCAATATGTTCGATGCTTTTTTTTTTATTTTTTTATTTTTGTGACAAAAGATAACGTTAATGGGCTAAATAGATAGTTGTTAGGAGGAAAAGAATTGGTACGGATCAAACATGCTTCATGGTGCAAATGCATAACTGTTTTCCGCTACTGTGAGAAAGTGCGAATATGTTAGATGCATACTGATGCAAAGATTGCTATGAATTTGTTGCATTCGCCGAAGAAAAAACAACCGATGCCCCATCCATCGTATTATCTTCTATTTACAAAATTGGTATTCAAATATGCAAATCCACATCTATATAATTTAGATTAGTTTGGTACAGACAGACTAAAACTTGTGCAAAAAAAAACAATTATATTGTTATAAGAACTATATGCCACATCATTTACATATAAAAATGTGAATAATAAGTCAAAAGTGCTAAAAACCCAGATATTCTTTTAAAAGCAAAAGTAAAATGTGCTTGAAAAAGAAACTCTAATGTGCATAGAAAAATGTATGACAGAGAACTTGGTCAACAAAAATAGGGATTTGGTTTATGGTGCCTCGTAAGTTGGAAATTTCAACTTTGTATTTTGGGTATGGAGCTACCTGGCTTTACGGAGACAGTTCCTCTTTAATATGCACTAGATCACTATATAATAAGCCTTCCGTGGTTATTGTTCTTTGCATCAGCGTCTGAGATCTGTCTTATTATACACAAGCACACACATAGAAACAAATAGATCAAGCGCACACTTACATACACACAGATTCAAATGGAGCGTTCAATGCGTCTTATTTCAGCTGCCTTCGTTGTTGTCTTACTTTTGGCCGCTACCGGTAATTATACTTCTTTTATTTAATAATTAAATTTTTATGATGTTTCTAATTAAGCATCTTATTCAACAAAAATATTTGATCTTTAGAGATGGGTCCAATGGGTATTGAGGCAAGGGTTGAGTCAAGCAAGGCAGTTGAGGGGAAGATCTGTGAGGTTCCGTGCACTCTGTTCAAAGGGTTGTGCTTTTCATCTAACAACTGTAAACACACATGCAGAAAGGAGCAATTCACCAGAGGCCATTGTAGTGTCTTCACCCGTGCTTGCGTGTGCACCAAAAAGTGCTAATTAATTAGTTAAAGAAATGTAATCTGTGTAGAGACTGTGCTTGTGTAATGTGATGGATTGATATGGCCCTGTATCCACATGGTTTCTTTTGCTAATAAAATGAATGACCCTGCATGGATCATTACTCATATGTCTAGTGTAGTGTTTTCATCGCGCCTGACGTACTTTTAGTCGCCTATTATCTTATATGTTTTTCTTGAAGATTATGATTAACATTCTAGATAGTCACCACATACTCTTCTTTTGTTTATTGACTTTCAATTAAGAAAGGGTGCATGATAATTATAGTTAAATGCTAATAACAATATTTTTCTTTTCCGTTTTGACAAAGCATTTTGTTGAAAATTTTTAAGTCACATTACTTGAATTTGTGTCACAAAGATTATTTAAGTCACATTGTCGATTTCATATGTCCTTTTTTGTCCACACCTTTTGTTGTAATAAGTTCTTTTGCCCTTTAAACCAGTATTAATAAACGTAACACAAGGTGAGGTTGATGCACAAGAAAAAAAATTAGGAAAAGGTTCCAAATTGCTTAACCAACTTTTAAGCAAAGACTTAATTAATTATTTTTATTTTATTTTATTTTATAAGTAATAGTCCTTAATGATTAATATTTTCTTGATAACATTTTAAAAGGCTCTTCCACAATTTTTTTTCTTAAAACAGTGTCATACTTTTCTATCACTTCTCTGATTAGTAGGTGTGGTATTGCCAAGGATGGAGCCACCTTGGGCCTAAGGGGTGGATGCCCTAACTCAGTTTGTTATGAAAAAATTGTACATATTGCATATAATAATTTCACGTCACAAAACATTTTCAGTTATGAAAATTCTAAATGATGAATTGAGAAATTGTAAAAAAATTAATTGATGAATGATAATATGGTTATTTTTATAGGAAGAGATATTTGATTGTATTGGTAATGAAATTGTTATGCAACGCTTTCAAAACTTGAAAATGCGTCGTAAGATATTATAATATGTTGTAAGACATATTTTATGGATTAGTGTATGTGCATTGTTAGTAAATTCTTAAGCTTTTTAATTTGTGACTTTATTTTTAGAATGTCCTTATTCATATGGATCTCAGACTTCGTCCTTGATGTATTAGTATGAATTTACAAGAGCTTATATATATAAAGATATATATACACACACACACACACACACATACATAAGCTTGTTGCCTAAGATAGAATTGAATGAACTATTAATTGAAGAATTGGAAATTTGATGTGGGGGATAACCAGGATTAAATATGCCATGAAACCAATTGTTATAAATGAATAAGAGGAATTGAAGAAATGATTGATCGGTATTTACCTTGAACTTAAGGTACTCGATGAATTGACTGTTTGTAAGAATTTTATGCCATTCAAAATTAGTTGTTATGAAAATATTCATAATGAAAGTAATGAATTCAAAATAATGATGCAATTATAATTTGAAAATAAGTTTTATTGCAAAACTTACACTGGGACTTACAATTAATATACTGATGATTGAGTTAGCGAATAATAAAATGACTGATGAAAAGAATATTGGTGCACGCAGGTATCCTTGACATTTGAAAATTAAAAGTGTTTACAATTTTTTATTTCTTTGGGTACAGTGTGAACCTAAAGAAATTTTTTACTAAGAAAATGTAAAATTGAGCTTGGTTTCTTCTTCCTCGGAGACATCTTCTTAAAGACTTGGATGATTGATTGCTTTACTGTGGAAGCACGGGATAGATGTTAACTTGCTTTTACTGTTGATGAATAGTGGTCCTTGTTGGAATAATTGCCACTTTTTACTGTGGAGTGTGCAGGTGACTGAGTGATTCCTTGCTTTGTCGGAATTATTAATGGAACTTTGTTTGAAAACTTCACATGGTGACTTTGAAAAGATGGCAATTGTCATGATGACTTAACTTGATGACTTTAATTTTCACATGGTGATTAATTGTGTTCACATGGCTTTATGCAAAAGGGTCTTAGGAGTCCTGGTAGTCGGCCCATTTGGCTGATTGTGTTTTTTGGCTTGCTGAGTTGGCTGGTTGCTGTGAGGATGTGTTTGAAGATTCGGAGTCTGTGACTTCTTCTTCTTCAAGCATCGTTGCTTCTGCAAGTAATTGTTGAGTTAGGTCCTTGAGTTGAGTGGCTTTCTTTACTTTTTGAGCTAGTTGACTTGGATGACTTCGTTGTTCCTTTGAGTGATGATAATGGACTAATGTCCGATAATGACTGTTCTAGGATGACTGGCAAAGATGGTTGTGCTAGCTGTGTCGGAATTACTAGAGATGGAGTAATGGGAAATTTTGTAAGGACTAGATGGATAGTCTTTTGATGGTTGAATTTATCCCACCACTTGACCGATCTGGTTCTATTGACTTCGCCGGTTTCGACTTCATAATTCCATTTCATGATCCACAGGACTTTGTATTTGGCCATGAAAATTGGGAAAAGTGTAATTCTGTAGTTAAATCGGCTTCAGTTAAGTTTGTGTTGGAAACTGGCAGAGATGACCTGCATAAGCTTTTCTGGTCGGAGACTAGTTGTTGGGTCGTGAATTGACCACCATTTAGGGAGCCATGCAGGAAAATTTAATCTGAAACTCTTGTCAAAATTAATGAACCATGAATGACTAAAATCTTATGTTTAATGGAGAAAGATGTTAGTCCATGCATCAATGTAATCAAAGTAATTGTAATGGTTATTGGGAATTTGAACATATTGGGTGTGAAGGGGTTTGCTTTTGTAAAGGGGGATTCCCCAATCTGATTCAGTTAAAAAATTTCCAATGTAAAGAGAATGGTAGAGGATTTTTTTTCATGAGTTTTGCTATAGAGATGTTTGATTGAAATGGGCTCGGTTTCACTAAGGATGGCTTGATAGTATTTTAGTGTTTTATGTGGTGTTGTAGGATGATAATGGAAATTGGGTGGAAAGACTATTTTGGCTAATTTTTCTACTGCTTGTTCTTGATTGAGATTGAAAGGGATACTGAAAAGATATTCAGTGAGATTGTTCTTGACATATGGTGATGTTTTGGTATAACTAACTGGTTAGGATGATGATCATTGGTAAGTTGGGGTTGAATAGGGATAGCAATGGTTCGGTTTTGGGACGGAAATGCTATATCCATCCCCATAACCACGAAAATTAACCATATCCATAACCGTAAATTAATCATTGGGTATTATCCATAACCATACCCACCGGATAACGAATTCCCCATCGGTTAACGGGTATATCCATATTTGTCAATACAAAAAATATATTCGTTCAGTTAAGACATTATAAGTTAATAGATATTAATTTCGTCATTAAACATTTGATGTATAAAATGATCCAATGAATGGATCTTGTTGAGTATAAAAATTAAAACATTGATGATGTTGGCTTGTCTTTGATATCTCACATAAGAACCATTGAGTTCACATTGATTTTGATTCAAAACTCTACTTTCCTACAAAATGCAATTTTTGTATTCTCAAGGTAATGGTTCGGTGAATAATGGATATATATATATATATATATATATATATATATATAGACACACACACAAATACATATATATATATATATATATATAAATTATTTACTGATCAGGTCGGATTTGGTTATGGATACGGTTTGGGGACCTCTATAACCATATCCAAAACCATAACCGAATAATATAAACGGTTTTTCCCCATATCCAGAATATACCTAAACTTCCATACCCAAATCCATTCCATTCGGGTGGTTATCCATGATTATCGGGTTTAACGGTTAGAATTGCCATCCCTAGGGTTGAATAAGGATCATATTGACTTACTAATGTTGTTTGGTAATTGGGACGTGGTGATTGGTAATTGGTAATTTGGCCTAAGGTTGAACAAATGTATTTTCGTTATTATTACCACATCCCAATTACCAAACAACATTACCAATCAAAAAGCAAAGAATAAGCCACCCAACTCAAAGACCTAGCTCAACAATTACATGCAGAAGCAGCGATGCTCCATTCTGATGAAGAAGAAGCCGCATACTCCAAATCTTCAGACTCATCCTCATAGCAACCAGCCAACTCAGCAAGCCAAAAACACAGTCAACCAAGTGGACTGACTACTAGGACTCCCAAGACCCTTTTGCAGAAAGCCATATGAACATAGTTAATCACCATGTGAAAATTAAAGTAATCATGATAATTGCCATCTTTTCAAAGTCACCATGTGAAGTTTTCAGACAAAGTTCCATCAATAATTCCGACAAAGCAAGGAATCACTCAGTCACCTGCACACTCCACAGTAAAAATAACAATTATTCCAACAAAGACCACTATTCATCAACAGTAAAAGCAAGTTACCACCCATCCCGTGCTTCCATAGTAAAGCAATCAATCATCCAAGTCTCTTTTCCAAGTCTTTAAGAAGATGTCTCTAGGGAAGAAGAAACCAAGCTCAATTTTACATTTTCTCAGTAAAAATTTTCTTTGAGTTCACATTGTACCCAAAGAAATAAAAAATTGTAAACACTTTTAATTTTCAAATGTCAAGGATGCATGCGTGCACCAATATCCTTTTCATTAGTCATTTTCTTATTTGCTGACTCAATCGTCAGTAAATCAATTGTAAGTTCCAATGTAAGTTTTGCAATAAAAATTATTTTCAAATTATAATTGCATCATTATTTTGAATTCATTACTTTCATTATGAATATTTTCATAACAACTAATTTTGAATGGCATAAAATTCTTACAAACAGTCAATTCATCAAGTACCTCAAATTCAAGGTAAATATCGATTAATCATTTGTTCAATTCTTCTTATTCATTTATAACAGCTGGTTTCATGGCATATTTAATCCTGATTAACAAAGATGGTTTTCGAGATGCTATCTTTTTTTAATAGCAAATAAGAAAATTACTGATGAAAAGGATATTGGTGCATGCAGGCATCCTTGACATTTGAAAATTAAAAGTGTTTACAATTTTGATTTCTTTGGGTACAATGTGAACTCAAAGAAATTTTTGACTGAGAAAATATAAAATTGAGCTTGGTTTCTTCTTCCTCGGAGACATCTTCTTAAAGACTTGGATAGAGGCTTGGATGATTGATTGCTTTACTGTGGAAGCACGGGATAGATGGTAACTTGCTTTTA